GCATTAAGTTCTATATCCATACATGAATAGCCAGGCTTGATTACCTTGGGCACAAATGCTGTGTTTGGGCACAAAGTAACTTTGGAAAAATTTTGTGTAAACCTGATACATGCAGGGTTGATAGATAATGCATCTAACTCTCCTACCCGCTTCATAGAGGTTAGGGCGAGCAGTAAAGCTGTCTTGTAGGAGACAATCTTCAAATCTGCCTGCTCCAAGGGTTCAAAAGGGGCTTCCCTGAGTGCTTCCAGGACCAGGGACAGATCCCATGCTGGTAACATAGGTTTGGTGATTGGTCTCAGACGGTGCACACCCTTCATAAATCTACTTACAATAGGATGCTTTCCTACTGTTACCAAGAGGGTCTAGCTGCAGCCTTGCACTTGCACTCTCAGACTTGCATTCTCAGACTTGCACTCTCAGACACTTGCGCTTCCGCTAGCGACGTCACTTGCAGTCTTTTATTTTTTTATTTTGTTCTATTTATTGATTACTTTTTGTTTGAATCGCTCAACATTTTACAACAGTAGCCAGGTGGTGAAGACAAGAAAAAAGAAACGAAATTACAATGTCACTTGCAATCGCCACTTGCACTCTCCGATACCTGCGACGTCACTTGCAATCGACACAAATCGTGCGTGTTGCCAATGGAGACAAGACGCTGTGGTGGTGATTAAACGATTAAAACTAATTTAGTACTATAACATACAGGGTCCTGCAAGAAAAAGACAAGACCCGCAAATCCCTGGCCACAGAACAGCAGAATATGAACGCAATGCACAAAGTCTCTCGTTAAGCATTTTCCTCCTGTAGAAAAACATAAACACTTAATATGGCTTAATGTATTAAGATATATTAAGTGCAATTAAAAGATAAAATTCGATATATAGTTATTATTTAATGTACTACAAGGCAAGCAGATGGCCATGAACACAATGCGCAAACTTTCACTTGTCCTCCCATACAGCAAAACACTTAATGTTGTATAATAACGGACTATGATAAAGACAATACAGTAGCCTATATGTCTTGTTGTTGACTCAAAGTATATACAGACCAACAAATATGAACGTGCATTTTGAAATGCATTAAGTGATTTTAAAAGGATCAACTCCATACAGGCAAGCAGACGAGCCCAGAACGCAATGCGTTAAATTGCACGTTAAA